TTCTTCTATTTCGTCTTCTTTTCTTCTTCTTCTTCTTCTTCTTCTTCTTCTTCTTCTTCTCCTTCTTCTTCTTCTTCTTCTATTTCGTCTTCTTTTCGTCTTTCTTCTTCTTCTCCTCCTACTCCTCTCACGCCTTTGCCATCGTCGTCGTCTTCTTCTTCTTCTTCTTTTCCTTCTCCTCCTACTCTTTTCTTCTTCTTCTTCTTCTTCTTCTTCTTCTTCTTCTTCTTCTTCTTCTTTTTCTTCTTCTTCTTCTTCTTCTTCTTATTATTATCATTATTATTATTATATTTCTTCGTGTGCTATAAGATAAATGCATGAAGTGATTGATGTCCTATTTATGATAATGATAATATATAAACATATATTTGTTGTTGTTTTGTTGTCAACTTTTTTCCCCAATAAATGTTTGTTTGAATTTTAGCCGCTCCCTGCATTTACTGATTTTGTTTGAAGCCGAGTTGATGTGGTCAATACATAGAGATTTTCTTTCTCCACTACGTTCCGTAAGAAAGTTAATTTATATTCTATATCTACCTTAATACAAAATAAATGACAAGTTTGAAACAGGATATTGGTGAACAGATTGGTACGGAGCAGTACTGGCTCTTACGGAGCAGTACTGGCTCTTGACTCTTCTTTATTATTGTTTACACTTCTTCTTTCAATTTGATGGATAATAACACGACGTGTAATGTAAACCGTAAACATGAGACACGTTTGAATATGTACTTTTAAGTGACATTCTTTTTATAAACAAAAAACAAAAAAAACAGGTAGGCTGTATTTAGGCGCCTACGGAAAGCATTACATGCGCACGAAATATATACATCAATTTTGTTAGGTGGAAGCTAATCGTGCGATTTATCTATATATATATTTTTTTTTAAAGGATAAACCTAGCGAAAATGGAAAACAAGGCGTCCAGTGCCTAGCTAGTGTTGGACACTAGTTTACGGAGGCCACGAACAACCCCCAATGTATTTGTTATTTTTTGGAGGAAACGTGGTTGCGACCAAGGGAACTGAACGAGGGCGCACTCCCTGTTCCTTGTTTATGAAAAACCGTGCACCTACAAGTATTTTGGATAAGAGTTTTGTAGGTGTCATGTAAACATACATGTAAAATAATGAAATTGTTGGCAACATACTACGAATATAATTGCTAGATAGTCAAATATGAACGATAGTGATTCAAATTCCGAGGCTCTGTGAAGGTATGAGGTCAGACTTGGCGTCGGGTTGTAAATAAACGTTCCTGGCCTTTGTTGACTACCATCGTCCGTGCCTTGAAATCAGAAAAGGTGAGACATAGGCGTTTAAAGCTGCAGTTGCCCCTCCCTTCTTTTCCAAGAATGAAGATATTGCTTGGTGGTTGAAGATGCCTTGGCAGTCGTCAGGAGTGAAGGAAGATCATAGACTGCCAAGGCTTGTAATGATGGGTCCTGGAGTGGGGAGGACAGCTTGCTCCATTCTTCTGCCAAATGGAAGATATAAAAAAGAAACAAAACAGCAAATCCGACAAAAATAGCGTGGTCGCATAAAAGGGCGACAACTTTTGACGATCACGATCATGACACAAATAATGACCGGTGTAAATAAATGCTATGCATTTGCTTCTTTAATATGATATACGCGATAGTTTTAAAAAGGGAAGTTATTTTGGGATGGGAGGGTAATAGAGCTCTGACTGCATAACCGAGAATGAGCGTGTAAGCTCGAATCTCGAATAACGAGAATGCATATAACAAAAGATTACGTAATGCAGCTGTTCGCGGAGGTATGCGTTCGATAACGAACATAAATTTCACTTTCTTTCTCCACTACGTTCCGTAAGAAAGTTAATTTATATTCTATATCTACCTTAATACAAAATAAATGACAAGTTTGAAACAGGATATTGGTGAACAGATTGGTACGGAGCAGTACTGGCTCTTGAGAAAACGCCAAAGAAAGTTGGAGAAGGCGGGTAAAGAGTGACACTGATGCTTGTACATTTTTGATGCATTAAATCAATATTGCATACCAAATGATGCATTGAAACGATTTATGCATACCAAATGATGCATTAACATTTTATGCATACCAAATGATGCGTTAAACGATTTTGTGCATGCCAAATGATGCATTTAAATCAATGTTGCATACCAAATGATGCGTTAAAACGATGTTTACATGCCAAATGATGCATGAACAATTTTTGCATGCCAAATGATGCATTGAAAACGACTTTTGCATGCCAAATGATGCATTAAATCAATGTTGCATACCAAATGATGCGTTAAACGATGTTGGAGTTTGCATGAAACAATGAACTAAAACAAAGGTGCATGTCAAATGACGCATTAAACAAAATAGCATACCTAATGATACATTTTAGACACATGTTGAACAGTATCCCATTTCCGTACAACAAGATCCCCGATTATTCTGTCGGGGTGGACGTTTATGGTCGAAACGGAGAGCCAAGGAAAGAAAAGAAGGGTTCTCATTAAAAACGGTTGCGACTCCTAAAGAAGATGCATAGGCAACCATTCGGGATATATTATGACGATATTATGAGTTTGGCACAAATCGAAAATTGCAAGAGCAATGTCATGAAGGTCTGGCTTGACACTCCCGCTCTTGATAATGCGTGGGACATTTTCATTGTCTGTCATCCACTTGAGCTTTTGATTTTGGAAAAGAGAGTGGCCTTCAGAAATTATTCGAAGTACGGCGGCCAGTTCACGCCAAGTAGAACTTTTGAGCGACTCTGCGCGAGTCCACTTTCCGTGGAAACGCGTGTGAGTGTTGTCCTGTACGTAGCCTCCGTAACCGGTATCGCTAGCGTCTGAAAAAAACTAGCGCAGATGGGGCTCCAAATTCTTTATAGGTACTGGTCGTGCTGACTGTGTCAAAGAAACAATCGCTTCGATGCTGAGCAGCAATTTGTTGATCTTAGATTGTGGTACAAAAAAAATGCTCTGTTATTGAATCTAGAACGAGACCTAGCTATTGGATTTGATTGGTGGGTTCCCATTTGCATTTTGTCTTGCTGGGGACAAACCCGCTGCGGGTAAGGGTGTCGCGCACTAAGGTCATGCTCGATAGAGCCGAACTGAGGCTGGGGGAAATGACGAGACCGTCGTCGATATAAACAAAGGAAATAATGACGCGGGCGCGCCAGTAATAGACTAATGGTCTAGTTAGATTGGTAAACAAGTAACATGCGCTGTTGAGGCCAAAAGGTAGAACCGTGAACATGTAATATCTAACAATTGAATCATTATGAACCCAGGAGAAGCCTAAGTATTGCTGGTGTGGGGGAAGATATCGACGTGATGATATCCGGATTCTAGGTCGAAAGAGAAATAAAATTGGTTTGGACCGAGTACTTGCGAAATGTGGGGTAAATCTTCATACTTGAATTTAAACTTCTTAACATATTTATTTGGGTGGCGTAGGTCCAGAACCAATCGTAACTTTTTGCCTTCAGTGACTGTTAATGATTGCAGCATGGCCATTCGACGACGCACTGTCTTTTCAACAAATCGGCAAAGGCCGTCTCAACAAACTCAGAATGATTCAAAACTTGATCTGTTATTCTTGCATAAAACTGAGGGGGAAATATGTCAAAAGGTTACTTATAGACTTCATTGATAAAATCAAGAATAAATGGTGTGGCTTTAAGCTCAGACTTCCAAAAATTATAAGATCATTTAAGTCTACCTTTGACTCCTGGTGGTAGCTTCACTCTAAAGGATTCCTTGGGTGACGCCTGGGGGCCCTGGTTGCTGGCGTATTGGCTGTCGACTGGCTCCGATAGCTGGGCAACTGGTACGCACGTGACCGGCGATGCCGCACTGGAAGCAGACACGGTTATCATAGCGGCGCTGAAAGTTTGGTATGAAGGTGGCCGGGAAGCGAATATTTTTTTTACACGCTAGCCTGGCCAGTTTCGCCGTAATACTCGTAAAAGTGCGCTGGTGGTAAAGGCTACATGTAGGCATGCACACTACCGCAGGTTAACTTGGTTGCTCTCTAGCTGAACGTTCGTTCGTTCGTGTCTCCTTAGATCAAGATTAATGTAAAGTTCCTAAATTAAATTAAATTAATTTTTTTGAATTCCATCGCCCGATGGCTGCGGTGGTCGTCTCATTTACAAGGGTCAGCTATGTCTTTATCTGATGATTGTCATGCATGATGTATGTGTATCATCATGCAGCTCGCATGTAGGCTGCTAGACTAATATTAGTCGTTTCCATGGTGTTTATCATAGAAATGGCCAGGCTAGCGTGTAAAAAAAAATTGCGCGGCCGGGAAGCGGCGAAAAGAACCAAGAGGGCGTTGAACAGGGCGAGGGTATGGGCGGGGCCTTCCCCGGGTCGACTTTTCGGCCGCGGATTCCGCTCTTTTTGCAGAAGCGGCTTTCTCCGCCTTTCCAAGACGCTTATCGCCGGAGTCGTCGGCAAGTTCATCGGCGACATATTCGTTTACGGTTGACCATCCGAGTGGCGACCGATCAGCGATTCTTATCAACTTTTGTTTGTTCCCTTCGCTCTTGAATGTTGGGATGGGTTTGGGTTGTTGAACCGTCGATGTGCAGGTGTCGACCCGGCGCTGTAAGACGTGGATGGCCGACAGGATTTCTTCGTTCGAGGCGGCGGGAATTTCGTCCATATCGTTATGGGTGTGGCAATTAGCTTGAAGTACTTGTTAGGCCTATAAGAACCGAGAGCTCTGACTGCATAACCGAGAATGAGCGTGTAAGCTCGAATCTCGAATAACGAGAATGCATATAACAAAAGATTACGTAATGCAGCTGTTCGCGGAGGTATGCGTTCGATAACGAACATAAATTTCACATCTCTATGGGTCAATACTATTTTTGATCCATTTTATGATATCCCTCTACGTGCAAAACAGGACAATATACAATCGACACACAAAATCTCTGTGAATTCTGAAATCGTACAGTATAAGAAGATGAGTCAATCGAGATGCTAAATTCTGCTGACGACGTACGGGCGAAAGGAGAATATCCTACCAAGGAAATAAAATTGTAAGCCATTTATTGATTTTGTGCAATTTATGTAACCATTAATGCCATTATTATTTTGGCAAACTGTGATAACCCTTACCAATCTGTTGTAAGAAACAGAGAGAGAGAGAGAGAGGATGTTTGTGTGTGTTGCTTGCATTGTGACTCTCGGGGAATGCTTCTTCGGTGAGCCGCTGAAATCTTCCCCAAGGTTCGGGCACGTTGAGGACAACACAGCTGCATGCATCATTGAATATTGTATGCATGAGCGTACTCTCGAATTCAATACATGACCTAGATCTAGACAGCAATAACCGTCTGGTATGGTATGGGTCATTCTTTAATAAACTGACATTTGTCAACATTCCCATTGATCCCAAATCAGATCAACAGGATCTTGCTGATGCAAAACGTACAGGAATGTATGGCGGTGTGAACATAGATCTAGTCATACATAGATCGATCTAACTGTTAGTCATAGATTCTAGACAGTTTGCGCGCATGACGGCTAAGTTCGCCATCTCAAAAAATTGGTAAGATTTCAAAAATCTGATATCACCAATGGAAAGAGGAACATAAAATTACCTATAGGCCTAGAGGGAATTTTCTCTGGAATCAGGTGTGAAATATTGACAAAAGTTTGGCAAATTTTGCGGTCATTTGCGTCCGTTCCAAAAAAATTACTAACTGACCGATAAGGGTCTGGAAATCTTCATTTTGAGAGCAGATATCCTCAAAATTTTAAGTAATAAGTGGTACAGACTAATTGTATGATATCTCGCCTTGCAAATTATGAAATTACTTTATTTTTGATGGATTGTATTTTTGTATAAATCAGCTGTGAACCCCCGTACGTGAAGTTAGGTCTCGTTTTTTAGATGCAGCACGCACGCACGATCGGACATCAAATTTTTAGATAAGATTGCGATATCTCCGAAATCCTTCCAACGATAAATTTTCTAGTTGAAGCATTTGTAGTAAAAAAAAACTTTGCCGTCTATTTGGTAATAATTGAATTAAATAAATTTGAGTAGAATATGAGAAATCATAGATCCAATATCACATTTTGTAATATATTCTAAAATGTCCGCGAACTTTGGTCACCCTTCATACTATTACTAACCACAATACTAACAGTAACAAAATGCAAAAAGGAATTACATATACTATTGCAATTTGCTACATAATAGTAGTAGTACAAAGGATGCAAAGACATTTTATCAATGAATTTTTAGCTGGAAAAAACAGATCACCAAGATGTTCTGAGGTGGATAAACATATCAAGCAGGTTCATGGAGAAAATATGCAACTTACATGTACATACGGTATTGTTAATGAATACAATGACTTTTTGTAAATATAATACATGTACATTACTAGGTAAACTATTTAATAATGGCATTCATGGGTTATCACTTGAAAGGTTTACTAAATGTATTATGTACAATGTACATGTACATGTACATGTAGGTACTTTCTTACACTATGAATATGACTGACAAAGAAAGCGGACAAAATATACAGTTCCTCAGGTAGATAAAGGAACATCCCTTCACTGCTATCATGTAAAAATGTGCTCACTGGTGTCACATGCATATTCACCTTTTTACATAATAGCAGTGAAGGGATGTTCCTTTGTCTACCTGGGGAACTGTATATATTGTCCGATTTCTTTGTCAGTCATGTTCATAGTGTTAGTAACTGATTTTAAATGTGGTCAACCCCATCAAAAAGGAAGACGTGGTATTCCACAAATATCAGTATTAGGGCCAACTCTGTCTTTTATCTATAGATATGAATGATCTGCTATAAGTTACTGATTATTGTAGCTTTCTGCTGCTTGCTGATGATTTCCAACCTATTCTATTCTTTTCCAGGTATATAAGTATGAATGGTAAACTGGAAATCACTGGAGAGGAAATTAAAGAGGTTGATGTTACCACTTTTGTTGGGTTTAGCATTGATCTGTCTTGGAATAGTCATATCTGTTTTGTAAATCAGTGTATTAGAAAGAAGTTGAAGTTAGATTGCATCATTTTTTTTCCTAGGCGTATTTTGATATTTTATATAAATCATTTTACAAAACTACACATTTCTTACAGAATAGAGTTGTGGGGAAGCACTTGTAAGGCTACATGTACATGTAGCCTAAGGCTAATCACAGAAAACGGAAGTTCGTGCTATATAGCATTCAGTGAATGGAGAACTCATAAAACTCCACTATTTAAAAGATTGTTAATCCTAAATGTGTATTTATGGCATGGTCTAGAAATTTCTACTTTCATGTTTGATCTAGTTAATAAAAAAATTTCTCATACGAAATAGAGTAGGCCTACTGTGACATTATAATAGAGCATAGTTATTCCACAAGACAAAAAAGAGGTTTTCAATTCCGTCTTCCAAAGTTTGAACGACATGAGTTCAATGTTTGTGGTCTTTTGTGGGCAGTGAATTTTGGAATAGATAAGCTTTTAATGTCAGATTAACAAGGTCTAGAAATAGGTTTTGGAATTATGTCACTAGACATTTGCTGGAAATTAAAAAAAAAAAAAAATCATAAATGATAAAATCCATGCAAAATTTCATATTATCAGTTCATATACACCTGTATGTATATTGTAAGACACTGTTAAAGTGACTCGGTAACATTGTTGAAAGTTGATGCAAAAACTGCTTAATTTTTGTATGAAAAGTTACTTATTATATTCCTTCTACTGTACTAACCCCCTAACATGCATAAAATCCTGACAAAAATCTTAAACCACAAAGATATTTGTGGTTTTCTTTGAAGGCGACACCCTCTAAACATTAAATTCTCCAAACCATTTTTTAGTTCAGCTGTAAGGTATTGGGCTTGACTAGCACTTGTGCTATTATCCTGCCCCTTTTTCCAACCAATAGTTTCTCTTCTTGTATAAATTTAAATATCATTGTATGAAATTTATTACTGTATTGCTGTTGGTAAATTGGTAAATATTAAATAAAATCAATTTAAAAAATGAGGGCATTTAAAGAGTAGACCTTTGTCAGAGACATTTCTTGAATTTTCTTCTATGATTTTCTTTAATACAAACTGACATTTAAATAGAATGAGACAGCACACAAATTATCTGTTCCAGAACTTGACCTTCTCTTTAATTCATATTAAATTTTAAACTTCTGTTACTGAATCATGGAGATTAGTACAGCTGTCATGGTTTTATACCACAGAAGAACTAGTATCCTCAGTTCTATGTGAACATATAATATGCATTCATTATTATTATTGTTCTTTCTTTTCTTTCTGTCAAGCAAAGGGAAACTTGGGATAACAATTGAGACGACATCATCAAATGTTTGGTTTATTTTTCAAATTTGAAAGGTCATTACATTATTTAGTGATCTATGGTGGACTAGTATGTTGGAGCTCTTTCCTAGTCATCCCAGATGATATGTGGTTATGTGATTTGTGCAGCTGTTATGGTTTTATACCACAGAAGCACTACATACATTATCCTCCAATATTTACCACAGTAAACATATGATATTTATTCTTTATTTAACTGTTCTTTCCTTTGTTTTCTGAAACTTGGGATTACAATTGCGATGACATCATCAAAATTTTGGTTTATTTGCACATAAACAGAGGATTTTTCAAATTTGAAAGGTCATTACATGCTCTATGGGAGACAAGTACTTTGGAGCTCTTTCCCAGTCATCCCAGATGATATTTAATTTATGCAGCTGTTATGGTTTTGTATCACAGAAGAACTAGTTTCCTTTAATAAACAGTGAACATATGATATGTATTCATTATTAAACTGTTCTTTCTTTTCTTTATGTTAGGCAGGCTAAGGAAACTTGGGATTACAATTGAGATGACATAAGAATTAAGAGGATGTTTCAAATTTGTCATCACATTTTTTGGTGCTCTATGCGGGACAAGTATTTTGGAGCTCTTTCCCAGTTATCCCAGATGATATGTGATTTATTTGTATGTACATGTATGAATCGTCTTCTTTTGGAGCAAGAAGGACTTTAATATTGTACCCAGAGTTAGGGCGTCTGGCTCTAAGGTATCTGAAAAGCTGAATAGCATTTCAGAACAAGAGGGAGTTTACAATGAACTTGTGTGATCCATATGTACAGTGTGTGTGTATGTAGACCTGCATGGGACCATGGATTCTTGCTGCTTGTACATGTATATTGTAGATGTACATGTATACATGTATGTTTTCAACTTCGTTCAGTTTCAATTCAATTAGATGTTATTCAATCTGAAAGCATATAAGATGAACACAGTGCAATGAAATTAATAAATCTTGTTTCAAAACTCTAAAAGTAATCACGACCATGCAATAACACTTTCAATAACATTTTCAATAATATATTCTGCTCACCAAGATGCAATACTCCAAGGAAGGTACAAGTGTCATTGTATTTGTAAGCCCTGTTTGTTACATTTATACATGTACATGTATCTCTCTTTTCTTCTCCCTCTTTCATTAGTTAATCCATTCTGTATGCAACTGAATTCACACAGTGTATCATAACATCTAATGTTATCAATATTTTCAGAGTCAATAGTCCCATTTCATAATCAAATTTAATGCATACATGTAAATCTTGATTGTATATGTACATGTAAGTTCAAATTATTTCATTCATCTGTTATGAATAATTGTATTTCGATAGTCAAAATGTGAATAGCATCCATTAATCGTTGCTAGGTAGGGCAAGCATCAATTAATGTATGCTATTCGCATTCTGACTATCGAAATACAATTATTAATGAGGCACTTATTAAAGATTTGTGCATTAGATTTAAATACATTTCAAAAAGGTTCTATTCCATGCAGTGGTGTACATTTTTGTGTGGGCATCTGTGCGAGTGTACATACAGTACAGTATGTGATACTGTATGAACTGAGTATGCAAAGTCTGAAGTGCATTGTGTTCCAACATTACATCGTTTTTCTGACATTTCCTAAATTTGTCCATATGGTGCCTATATCCTGTAACCTTACAATGCACTGTTCTCCATTGACTGGTCAAGTTCGCTACAGTACATGAATCTCTTTTATGAGAAGGGATACATGTAGCTACTCTCAGACTATGAACAATTTAGAATTTTAAAAAAAATCAAAATACTTCTCTGTGATTCTGTGCAATATGTACCATATGACATACATTTTGACCCCCAACCTATTTCATAAAAAATGAAGAACCTCCTGATTTGATAATTGAGTAATGATGCTTTCTGGTATCACAAAATATCACTACCATTATAGACATAGTCATATCAAGAGACTTTTCATTTATGGATGAAATATGATAAATGTCATGTCCTATACATGTTTGGCTCAAAAACTTTTTAGAAGTACATGTACATAAAGAAATGTACCTACTGTATACATGATCCTGTTATTGTAATGATAATAATGATAATAATCACATTTGTAAAGCGCTTAATAGTACTATTCTTACTGCCTTAATTTTATTGGGTCCACAATTACTATAAAATATTTTCCTTTCATGAGAGAGCAGAAACTATCGTCAATAATCTTGCAAGGAAAATGTGCTTTAAACTTAATATTAGAAACTCCTAATTTCTTTCTTTCTTTCTTTTGGGTCTGACACTTGTTACAGGATGTACAGATCATGACTGAACTAGTGGTGCCACAATGCAACTTATAAGAATCGCTGCCTTTGAACTTGGACCTGGCTGAACCAGTCAAAGCACTCCGACCCACCCTCCTTGGTAAGGGTCAACACACCTTTTACAGACACTAGGAAGGTCAAAGGCCATCATGTGGCTGAGAATGCTGAGGTCCCGTCCTGTCCACATGGCTGTGGTTTCTGGGATCAGTGTCTATGTCCTATTGACTGTCATAGGGATGTTGGTGCACAGCAATGGGGAACAAGCAAGCGCCCGTGCGAAGCAGCGGTACATTGAGATGGCAAGGCGCGTCCAACGCGGCGACAAGGGCATCATCCTCATGAACAACCCTGACACCTCCATCGCCAAACATCAAGTCGTTGACGGACAGAAGAGAGAGGCGCTCGTGGCCGCACCGAGGGACGATAATTTCATCTACCTTGGGAAGCAGGGGGCCGACTCGCCTGTGGAGTCAGGCAAACTGAACCACATTGCCAATCTCCTGCAGAACATTGAGGCCAAGCTGGAGGATTCAAAGAAAGACGGAGGCAATGTGAATGAAGACTTGAAAGATGTTAAGATTGCCATCAAGGAGATGATGGGGGGAAAAGAAACGGGAGAAAAGGAACCCAAAGAGGAGAAGAAAATTGGACTTGTTTTAGAACAGCCTGCTGAGCCGGAACCAATAGAAGCTGTAGACATCGATGCTTTACCATTTGTCATTGATCCATCTCAGTCTGCATCGGTAAGTACCACACTTTTATTGACCCCTACTGTACTGGGCTATTTTGAGCCCCTCATGATCTCGGCTGTCGAAAGTCCGATGAACACGAAAATTTGCATGTTTGTAGATATTTACGTAAGGAACAAAATAGTATAATTAGTTTTTTCCTAATATGCAAATTTTTGTCGTTATAGCCTAATTAATTATGCAAAATGCTAAGTTTATGCATTTTAGTTTAGCTTTAGTGACCACCTGTATAAAAAGGCCAGCTGTCTAGATAAAGACCACAATTTTTGTGTCTCTTGAACTGCATTTCTCATTGAAACATGTATTATAGAACCTTTACAAAAAGACTGCATGCTCATAAAGACTGCATATTAGTTGTCTCCCCTGAGTTGGTTTTACTACCGTAAATCTCCGTGTATAAGGCGCACCTGTGTATAAGGCGCACCCCTATTTTTTTTTTTGGGGGGGGGGGGAAATTGTTTTTTGTTTTGTTGTTGTTGTTTTGTTACCGAAAACCCACGCGGGGAAGGACCTTCATTTTACATCGAGGTGCAGTTGAAGTTGTGAACTTGTCACAAATAACTTTTACAACAGTCTAAGGCTTCATGATACCAAGTGTCCCACACCAGCCTCCTCACATCACCTAGCAGAAGCACTGTGTTCTATGCCAAACATCAATAGTCATGCATGATAAGATGATATGAATAGCATCCTCTAAATTTCTGACAACGGAGTACCTAGGATAGAACCTTGTGGTATACCATTTGTTATAGAAAAAAAAAATTGAGGAATTATTATTATAAACTACATATTGAGATATATTAGAAAGATTACTTTCAAACCAAGATGACAGACAAATTTGAGTGTTGTTGTAGTTTCCGAGTGGTGAGTCAACACACTGATTACTGAGCTAGGAGACATTGCCAGGCATAGCGCCATAAATCGAAACTAAAAAAAAAAACTTTTTTTCTGTACTTGTGTATACAATGTAAGATGCACCCCCGACTTTCAAATTTTTTCGGCGGCAAAAAAGTGCGCCTTATACACGGAGATTTACGGTATACTGTATTGTACATGTACATGTATACAGTCAAACCTGCCTAAGTGGCCACCTCTCTATAAAGGTCACCTGTCTATAGTGGCCAAGCATTTTGTCTCCCTTGAGAAAGAAATGTGTGTTGTAGAACCTGTGTAGAAAGACCACCTGCTGACAGTTACTACTTTTTTGTTTCTTGTGGGTGGCCTTTAATAATAGACAGGTTGACTGTTTGGAGAATTAAGGGAAAAGTAGTAAAGCTGCCCCCAGAAAACAAAATTCACAATTGTTGGTTATGTTTTTTATCTAAAGGTGCGACTATAAGGACCCCCCCCCCCCCCCCCATAAAAGAAATTAAAAGTGTAAAGTGTCATTAATATACATGTACTGCTCCAATTCAAGGTTATTTTTTATTTGCTGGTACAGGGTGTCCCTAAAAAGGAAACCACTATGGTTTACTTCAGCACCGCATTATTGAAACTAACCTTTATCATTTCCCATGGCCTTTTCCTCAGAATTAAACTCTGGACTTGTGGGCACAAAGACTAAAATATCAGCATTGACCTTAATCTTGGCCTTGGTTTTTTTATCACCATGGCTGCAACCATAAATGGTGTGCAACTGTGCATTGATCGATGCGTAAAAGACGGATATTAATATCAACAAATTTACAAAAAGGGGTTGGATGTTTGATTTTATTGTTTGGTTAGTAGGGACGAGCAAAAATTTGCCATGGTAGAGGACTATTTGGTGCCCACACCCAGTAGTGCAAATACATGTACAGCTGGTATTGAACTTCAACTTGTGATCATGTATAGACCTACATTTGTACAATGTACGTGTACTTAATTTACTCTAACTGTATGTGGGATGTCATGAGCGAGAATCTCTGGTTAGTCAGATGGAAAGACAATTACATACAGACGACCAGATTGAAGTAAAGGGACTTTGTAACATTGTTCAGATGAGAGATAGTGGTGCTAAGGTAGTGACTTCAATGCTACATGTACAATTAAAGATAATCTGAAAATTTGAGCGAAAACGGACCATTATTCATGGTACAAATTGGGAGAAACTGATCCGATCGATTCCTTAATTCTCCCAACTATATTATTACAATTTAATTACATTTTAGGTGAATGGAAATCTCACAAAGCAATAAAATGGCTCTACATTCCATTCCAGACATTTAAGTGTTGACAGATTTTTTTATAGCCTGTTTTTATGTCTTTTTTTTCATGGAAAAACGGTTGGGAAAATTCAAAAATGGTTGGGAGAATTTAGATTCAGAAGCGCCGCACATCGACGCCCGTTCGAAAACCCGTTGAACTTTGTTAAAAATCTTCATATTGCGGGAATTAATTTGGGGCATCGTAGTTGGATAATCCATACATACAAACATAATTTTACGTCTTTTGCATCCTGATTTAACAGATTTGTGATATCAGCCATCACAATGTTACTAAGTACCTTTAAACAATGGAAGGCCATTCTTGTAACTTTCAAGAAAATAACGAACTAAACTTTAGAATACCCCCACTAAAACGCAGTATGTCCATTGGTCATCCAACAAGCAATTTTGATTGAGAAAAAACCCCAATGATTTTGTACCTCTCCGCATGTTTCCAATTTATAGATTTTAAATTTTATTTCTCCTTTTCAAAATCCCTGGCATCAATAAGATCACGCAACATAAATGGACACATTGTGCAGAAATGTTTGCCCTTTCTACTCATGTCATGCATCTGATATAAATTGTAGATTATTCATGTAGGGCTCTGAATTTAAAGAATAATATTGAGCCAAACCGATACACACCTTTTTGTAAATCTGCGATCGCCGAAATGAGAAAGGACGCAACCGTGTTTTGAACTATACACTGAACAAGAGCCTAATTCTGACCTGAAAAAAATGGGCATAAACACACCCTAAGAAGGCTGGACGTTGAGTGCAGTTTATATTGACCAATTTTTTGCCTAGAATCAGGTTTCTCAAACTTCTTTCAGGAAAATTTTTAAGTTGATAAACGCAAAGCCTTTTTCAAACGTCTTTAGATATGAGCATATTGTAACGCCAAAAAATTGAGTTTTGAATGTGACATACAGTACAGCCAGAATCACGTTTCCGAGACCTGATAAACGCAAAGCTGTTTTGAACCCCACATACAAATCGGACCATTCCAGGTTAATTTCCGGTTGGGAGGCTAGCGCTCGCCATGTGTTGTGTCATGTTGTTGTACAAGCATGTGTGTGTAGTTGACCTCTGAGAAACTGTCTGCTTCCTGGGTCAAATGGCGCAAAGCAGCTGCGTAGAAACAAGGCCTTTATTTTGAATCGTGAAGAGACGATAAACGCGACATCACGCAAATCACGTTTGTTTAGTGGGGTTCGATATACATGTATACATATCTAGTGGCAAGACATGATAAACGCACCCTTAGTCTGGACTTAAAGGAAACCTCACCCCAGAAAATAACTTTACTTTTTCTGAGAGATTTCTTGCCCATTAATCTACAAGATTCCCCACCAAGGTGTACATCTATAAGAGAGGCATAAAGCAAGAATAATGAACGGTTTCTCAGCATGACGTAGGCATCGCCATTTATTGATAATTATGTAACGTACAGGTACTACACTGTACATATTAAATGTGAGGTTGTTTGTCAAGTAAATGTATTCAAATTTATGGATGCTTCCTCCCTAGGTGTGTGTGGTGATGAAGCATTTCATTCACCTGCTATAACTGTTGTACTACATGTACATGTACAATTGCCAGAACGCAAATTGCATATTTGGTGCTCTTCTGGGGTGAAGGCGTCTCATAAATGAAATAGATTGGTCAACTGTTATATTTAAGTATTTTAAAATGAAAAAGATACAATTGTTACCCTGTTATATATTTTCCACCAAATATAATTTCTATCTTCTCAGCTATGATTTTTTTCTCATTGAAAAGTGAAGGTTTTGTTATTGATTTCAAAAGTCTTTCCAACCAGAGCTTGGTGCATGATACAACTTAAACTGGTATGTCACACTTTCAAGCAAATGACTGCGCCCAAAAGGCATCATATCATGCCAAGAATGTCTTCATTTATATATATCTTGTACATCTTTCTTAAGGAATATTGTACATCAAAGGGTAGGAATACATCTCATTTTTCAGAATACCTACACTAATTCTTTGGGGTGAGGTTTCCTTTAATCCTCTTCTACCCTAGTCATAGGAAAAAGGTTTTAGAAGATCATGAATGGTCTCCTGTGGTTTATCCAACCCAGATATTTTTAATTGTTACTGAACAAAAGACACAGATTTGTTAAATTGGCCATTTTGTACATGTACACATCAATGTTGGTGTTTTGTGTTCATTAATGGGGTGATAACCTTGTGTACAATGCATGCAGGCCATTAAACTTGACAAGCATTGAAGCAATTAGGAGTTTGGGTAATAATTGGCAGATTGCCTCATCAGTCAAACTAGAAAGATCTAGGATATGGCTTATTATCTGTCTTGACTGCTAAAATTATACAGTATAATTATGATGTCTGATGGTTGGTAGAGTCTCTCTCTCTCTCTCTCTCTCTCCCTCCCTTTCTCTCCCTGTCTCTGTCTGTCCCTCCTTCTTGCTCTCTCTTTCTTTATTACTCTATCCTACTCTTACCCCCTCTGTCTTTCTTTCTGTCATGACTTTATCATTTGTACTACATATAAATGTACATTATAAAGTGTTATTGTTTGAATGTTACATGATAATATGCCAGTAAATGCACTTTTAAACAATTATCTAAAACTAAATTTAATTACTACATGTACATGTACATGAACACATTTAGATGATGATGATGATGATGATGATGATGATGATGATGATAATGATGATGACATTAATAATAATTATGAATACTATCATTATCATTATTATTATTATTATTGTTATTGTTGTTGTTGTTATTATCATTAATTGTTATTGTTGGTATTATCATCATTATTATTATTATTATTATTAATGTTATTATTTTTATTATCATCGTCGTCATTGTCATCTTCATCTTCATTATTTTATTATTACTTTATTACTTGGTGTACAGTATGTTGTTGTTGAATTAATATTAATTACTGATATAATAAAGCCCATTGACTGAGAAGTGTCTGTGTATTTGAATTGAGTAAGGCTGCTTGTACATGTACATGTAGTCACAGACATTTGACTGTACTTCCAGTGTAATAAATATTAATGCTGATTGCATATTTTTTTTGTGTGTACAATGTAACGGATGGTCTCATTGCAACCCCTAGAAAATGTACACACACACAGTCCACTTTTTATCGTAGCTACTAGCTATCGTGCTATAACTTATTAGTAAGGACTAGGTTACCATTATTATTGCCTTCATTGGCTGTTGCTATGTCAGTCAATGACTTTTGTTTGTCACGTTCTATTTCTCCTGTAAATCCATTGAATTCAAATGACTTTTGTTTGTCACATTCAATTTCTCCTGTAAATCCATTGACTTCAAATTGTCTATGGCAGCTATTTTTATGACAAGAAACTTCATGAACGGCAACAACTTTATAGTGTTAAGTAATTACACATGTTGATCACACAATATGAGTAATAAATTTGTATAATTCAACTTCTGCAAATAAGTCACAAAATCCACAATTCGATGTTTTGATCACCCTGGTTTTACATTAGCTCATTATGTCAATACATTGATACCATTGAAGTCTTGTTTTTCAATAATAACAATGAGCTCTCTCTGTCTCTCTCTCTTTCCTTCTGCAGCAATGTCCAAAGACAGTTCAGACCCTTGCCAAATATTCAAAATGGTTTCGTACACGTTATGAGCATGGGATCAAGCTCTTTTCCAACTTGGAAGACATTCAATCTTACCCAATCTACCATAAACTGGAGCATTACACACCACCGTTTGGCTTCAAGAGAACAAAAAGAGATCGTAAGTACTCTTTCATACTCAAAGATTTGGCTGTAGGATTAATCATTATTCACTTTGAAAATGACTGGCAATACTGACATTGAATGGCAGTGATTGTAACATGATTTACATGATTAACAATACTGCAGCATTTTTATAATAATGATCATATTAAAAGTAACTACAGGTGTAACTCTTCTTATCAAGCGATTTACCATTTACAACATTGCAGACCATGGTATTGAAGCCTAATATGAGATCAGTTTGCTTGAAGATATTGAATCTTAATCCCACAGAATTGTTCTGTAGTTTTAAACCTGCTTCGTCATACTTTTTTGAGGAAGGAAGGTATCTGTTTTTAAATAATCAATAAAAAAAAACAGAAGACATGTACCCTTGTTGACAATTCGGTTAAGAAATTACTGTGCACATTTTCTTGATCCAGATGTACATGTACATACAGTGTATGTAGTGCATGTACATGTAAATGGTATTTATACATTACCATTTCCAAACTGTGAGTCTGTGACACACAGTTGCTACACTTCCATTTGGCATTTATTTTATTTTTTTAAATCTGTGTTTCATCATGGACCTTATTCGACATTCGACAAGATTCTTTCTTTGATCCAACAAGATCGGCTGCCTTCTGATTATGTGCATCTTTATAACGAGAACATTCAATAATGACTGGTAAGCATTTTTGGTCATTGACAAAGGAGCAGTTTCCCTCTCTTTGGTTTCGTTTAGATGGTGTGCTTAAAGAGTGTGTCTTAATTTAAAAAAAACATTACCAATGGGGAGCAGCAAAGTTTAAATGCAGACGATTTGGCAATATGAAATTTATTATTACTGATTCGCACACTTTCGCACGCACCAATGATCTTATAAAACAATTAGGAGGCCATGATCTCGATAAGCCCTGTGCATTGTCTCTGAAATGTTATGAGGAAACAGGAATTTAAGTCACAAACAATCCAAATAGAAACTCTATCTGGTATTAAAATATCAACGTGTTTTTCAAAATAAAGACAGTAAACGGAACAAAAATTTACGATTATAAACCAGAACTGCGCACCGATTTCCCATGATGTAAGCGATTTTTTTATCTTCTGCGCATGTAGATTAACATGTGTAAAAATCTTGATTCTGTCCTGGCTTATCGGCGGCGGACCTTATGAGATCAAAGTGAAGAAACATGTACGGAATGTTATTGAGACAACATTGAAGGAAACAATCACAATGAATTTGTTAACAAAACAACGAATGTCCATCCGTAATAGGTCCATGGTTTCATGCATGGTCTCTTAAATTATTTACCATGTTTGCCTGTAATGAAGACACACTCATCCAGTGATGCTTGTGGAAAAGGAAGGGGTACAACACGGTTAACTTTTATGATCGCCATATGTAGAGCTGTGGAGGATCTTGTCCACATTTTTTAGCTTGGTTTACAGGCTGTTACCTTGTGGTTTTGAACTTAATTGTCTTCCAATTATATTTCCTTTATGAATGGATACAGCTTCTTTTGTCACATTCTATAATCGATTGAGCTTGTTTCTATTTTCTTGTATTTCTGTGCAATAATATCTTCTCTTCAAAAATTCTGCCATATTATTGACTTTGTTTCTTGCTGGCTTTCCTCCAGTCATTTGTAGTCCTGTTGAGATAGTTCCTCTGCCTTCAAAGTTCAAGCATTTCCTTTGACGCCCATACACTGTATGTACACATACAAATAGACCAAAATGGAGTATGAACATTAAAATGTCATTGAATGATCTTTTCCATGCCGTCCTATATCTTCACACTTGAGCTCCCTATACCAGGGGTTTTGGAACATATCACATACATAAGGCCAAATAAAAAAAAAACATGTTTAATAGCGCCCTGTTTTTTTTAAAAATAGGAAGGAGGCCCTTTTCTTTTTTTTCTTTTTTTTCTAAATGGCTGCTCAAAATGGCTGCTCAGTAAATTTTCCCTGACAGTCGGGCTATTTTTCAAGAAAAAAAAAAAAAAAAATCGAAACAAAATTTCAAAAAAAAAATCAAAAATCAAAAATTTCAACAACAAAAAAAATAAAAATAGGAGGTGGCCCCCTAAAAGGAAGCGGGCGGAGACGCTAAACATGTATATTTTTTTAATGGCCTAATTGCATTTTCAAAGTGTTTATAATTTCAGACTTTTACCTCTTTAGATGCATTACCCATGCGCATTTAATTTTTTTGTTCACAAATCCCATTACCGTAAGTTATCACTCAGACTGACTGGGATTATAACATATCAATATGTTCAGAATGAGAGGCTAATACAAGATCAATACAGGTACTTGTTTTTTCTGTCACTCTGGTAGGCATACTGACCAATTGTGACAGGTGATATCCACATCAGAGATCATCTATTTTTACTCTTTCATTTGCACAAAAAATGTTTTAGTTAAAATCGCCTGCAATAAAATAATTTTTGGTTATTCATGTCTATATTAGAAAGAACCTTTTTTAACTGACATGAAATTGGTTTCTTTTCTTTGGAAAATATATAACATTATACAAAATTTGCTCTCTTTCTGTGAAATTTATACCTACAGTGTAGTACATGTATGATTAAAATACAATATTCTCATCTTCTGCAAGATCCAGAGGTATGAAATTTACTTTTTGAGATATAAAGCAGTACCTTTGTGGCTGTCCCTATACTACCACTTTCTGTTGATAAAGTAATTCAGGAAAATCTCTACCACCGTCTGAACTCTGAAACGTATTGGAAATATTTTTCTGATACAGGAACTCTCTCTCTCTCTCTCTCTCTCTCCCTATCTTTCTTTCCCTCTTTCTCTTTCCCTCTTTCTCTTTAACTCCATCCTTTGAAAAGAAAGTAGAAATCAACTCTTTATAATTATTCAAACCGAATCACCACAAAAAGTAACAAATGTTTTGGCTGAAACAATTTTACCCCTGATGCTGAAGTAAAATATAACGGAATAACAGTAATACATGAATGTTGAAAGTGAAATATAAAGGGAGTTGTTTGGCTTACATGTGTATCAAATCACTGTAGTGTACATTCATGTTGTGTCTATTTCATCAGGTTTAATTTTAGGAATGGAACATACATGTACATGTACGTGTAGTAATTTGTTCATACATTAGATTAGATACCCTGTTGCTCATTTGTTGAGCAGAGGAGAGAGATAGACAGGGTTTCAACCGTCATGAAAATGTTGGGCCTGCAGTGTCTTAATCATCAGCCAAGGTTGAATTAGGAACAGAAACTACTCAGGAGGGGCATTTACACTTGAAGAAAAAAACGATGGGTTTTTCTCACTTTCCAGAGTTTTGTCAAAGGTTGCAAGGCAACTAACCGTAATCACAATGTAAAACCTGAATCCTCAAATCCTCAAACCCACCTGTGGAGTGTGGTCTTTGAACACTCACACCAATACTCAACCTGTTTATGCAGCATAAATTCAGTTTCACAAAACACTGTTAAATCATCCAGGTTTTGCTCATGATCTTCGAGCTATTTCATGAAAAGCAGCGATAAGTCCCACATGTGTACTACTCACCACCCCTCCCCCCCCCCCCCCCTTCGAACAAAAAAAAAAAGGTTGGGTGACAAAGAAAACAATTATCAAAACACCAACTGTTTTATACAGGGTTTTCCAGTAATGTAAATGTTACTTTAAGAAAGTTGTGTTGTTTTTTCTTTGTGCAGTGTAGATGGACTCTGACCTACAAATGCAGCGATTGTATGGTCATATATGTACATGACATTTTGAACATGGAATGGGGTTGCTTGATTTAATTAAATACCACACAACACTCATTGCCTGATCAAGGGTTCTCTGGAAAGAGGGAGGGGGAGCACAAGTTCTATAATTCTCTGACTGGATGCATGTGCCTCCACTCCCACCCCTCCTCGATCTACCACTGAATATATCATGTATTATTACCCGTATCAGACATCTGAGCTGGTCATTTACAAAACCGTATTGCCCTAGTTTTCACTAGCAGTGGGAACGGAGGGGTATATTCTTTGTATTTTCCTTGGTCTCCCTGCGCGTATTGACTTTGCGTGTAGAGACGAGTGAAAATATACCTTGGTATTTTCTACGGTCTCGCATTTTCATTGCGCATCTATTAATATTATGCGTACGAGAACCTGCGCTCTTTGCGCGCACTCTATTGTGACGTAATAATCACACCAAATACACACTGTTTGTAGTGTATCGAAAATTTTGTCAAGCACTGGATTCACAGTGTTGGTTTGACAAAGTTTGTTCAGTTCTTGAGATTGTCATGGTGGATGTCTGTATTTGCTCTAGATGTCTGATTTGGATAACAATAAAAATATTGACTGGCTTTACTTTCGGGGGATATCAGGAATATTGACCGCGCTAAGACCATATTGCCCTCGTCTTTCGACTCGGGGCAATATGATCTGAGCTTGGTCAATATTTCTGATATACCCCTCAAGGCCAGTCAATATTATATAAATGTTTGTACAGTGCAGCATACATTAAATGTAGGGTCTATAAATTGCTCCATGTAGACCTACAATTACAATCAGCACAGAAGAAATACAGGAATGGGAACTTTGTTCAGAATTAGCCAAATGTACCATTTTCTTATTTTGAAAGAAACAGCAACATGAACAAACAAAAGCAATCTAAATAATGTATGACATATTTTTCGATATTTGTAATAAAGGGAACTACGGTTACACTGAACTGTATCTGGTAAATTTACAGTTAACAGCAAATCATGGGGGAAACAAAATTAGAGTCCCATTTTATTGTTGATGCATGACAATACACTTTAGCTTTGAGATATTCCAATACCGGTAATTGAAAAATACTAACGAATAAAAGCGCTGTAAAATAGATTTTGAACAGATTCTGGTCACTCTCAGTTTCACTCAAAAAGTAGAAAATAAAGCAGAAGATAATGTAAACAGGATAAATTTATAGCCTATTTGCTATTTTTCCCATTTTGTTCTAAATTCTGTTAAAATCACTTCAGTAGAAACTGATACTGATAGATGCTTTTGTGGCTATATACATGTACATGTACATGTACCATATAGCCATGCATTTATAACCATATTAAAGCAAGTTATACATGTACATGTTGGCCTAGATTTAGTCTGCAGATGCAGACTCTAATTTGACAATTTACCACAATTCCTAAAGCCTTGAGTGTAGCCTAGCTCTGTCAGTCTCTAGGTGTGTCTGGAGTAGTTGAAGTACAGAGCCTATGCAGTATAGCTTTGGCTTAGTCTCAAAATGCAGACGTTGTTGAGAAGTATGACTGACAAGAGTTTGTGCCTGCAAACTAGCCTACATGTACATGCATCCATCAAGTTAAACCTCTAAAGATCATTGCTGAATATTTTAAAAGTAGCATCAATCACTTGCAGACATTGAGAAAGCCTCATGATTCTCAATCTCAATCCTTTAATTAGCATCGCCACATTTGACTCAAATTTAGAGCAAATATGGTAAGTTTATAGCTAAAAGCAAACTGTCCAAAAAGATTTTAGTACATAGCTGAACCCTTTCTGTACAATTTGATAAATATTTTAATACTTTAGCCCATGATGCACACTTTGCAAGTTGTGTTAAAATAATTTAACTTTTTCTGTACACTTACAGACATATTGTCTGCAGCACGAAAAGCCATTTTAAATATTAGATTAATATTTTAAAGAATTAATGATTGGAAGCTGGTAGATACATCACAAATTGCACACCCACAGTAGCAGACTGTATAAAATGTTTTTAAAATGTCTAATGTGAAATCTGCAAGAAAAGAAGGAATGATAACAATGACATGTACAGCAAAAAATATGAATGGGACTACATAAAAATTGCTCATCCTATTATGATGCATACAGTTATGATGCATACAGTTTAGATGACCATAAAAGAACAAAAGAATGATTTATTTAATGCTTAAAATGTTGTTTCTTTAAAAATTGTAATTTGTTTACAATCTCAATGTGTCCTGTCTGTCAGGTTGTTTTATGTCCCGTCTGTTACACTCATTTTCATGGAATTTAATATTTAAATGTACACTAGCAGCTCCTACATGTAGGTTACATGTACATGTTGGCCTAGATTTAGTCTGCAGATGCAGACTCTAATTTGACAATTTACCACAATTCCTAAAGCCTTGAGTGTAGCCTAGCTCTGTCAGTCTCTAGGTGTGTCTGGAGTAGTTGAAGTACAGAGCCTATGCAGTATAGCTTTGGCTTAGTCTCAAAATGCAGACGTTGTTGAGAAGTATGACTGACAAGAGTTTGTGCCTGCAAACTAGCCTACATGTACATGCATCCATCAAGTTAAACCTCTAAAGATCATTGCTGAATATTTTAAAAGTAGCATCAATCACTTGCAGACATTGAGAAAGCCTCATGATTCTCAATCTCAATCCTTTAATTAGCATCGCCACATTTGACTCAAATTTAAAGCAAATATGGTAAGTTTATAGCTAAAAGCAAACTGTCCAAACAGATTTTAGTACATACAGTAGCTGCACCCTTTCTGTACAATTTGATAAATATTTTAATACTTTAGCCCATGATGCACACTTTGCAATTTGTGTCAAAATAATTGAACTTTTTCTGCACACTTACAGACATATTGTCTGCAGCACGAAAAGCCATTTTAAATATTAGATTAATATTTTAAAGAATTAATGATTGGAAGCTGGTAGATACATCACAAATTGCACACCCACAGTAGCAGACTGTATAAAATGTTTTTAAAATGTTGAATATGAAATCTGCAAGAAAAGAAGGAATGATATCCCATCTGTCACGTTTTAACAATTACATGTACAGCAAAAAATATGAATGGGACTACATAAAAATTGCTCATCCTATTATGTTGCATACAGTTATGATGCATACAGTTTAGATGACCAT